GACAGACAATCCTGGCCCAGAAAAAGGATGTTATGGAACGACATGCTGAAATCTGGATGAAGTCTGTAGATTAATTGTCAGTCTTGGATCAATGGTAGTCTATGTTGCTATGTAACGTGCTAACTTTTGAAGAAGTGAGGGGAAGGGTTTACAAGCATCCTTTGTACTATATATATATATTTTTTGATGCTTTGGCCAAGCTGCATACCATGTGGGGTATTAGTTCCCTCACCAGGGATGGAACCTGCACCCCCTGTGGTGGAAGTGTGGCGTCTAAACCACTGGCCCACCCTGGAAGTTCGTCTCTTTGTACTGTTTTTTAAAAGCAATTTTACTGAGATATAATTTATATACCATAACATTCACCCGTCTTAAGTGTGAAATTTAATATTTTTGGTAAATTTACTGACTTGTTCAAACTTCACCACAATTCAGTTTTAGAACATTTTCATCATCTGTGTGGATCACAACAAACTGGAAAATTCTTAAAGATATGAGAATACCAGACCACCTTACCTGTCTCCTGTATGTGGGCCAAGAAGCAGCTGTTAGAACCTTACATGGAACAAGTGACTGGTTCAAAAGTGGGAAAGGAGTATGACACAGGTGTATATTGTTCACCTGCTTATGTAACTTCTATCCAGATTACACTGTGCAAAATGCCGGACTGGATGAATCACAAGCTGGAATCAATATTGCTAGAAGAAATATCAACAACTTCATATATGTAGGTGATACGACTCCAGTGGCAGAAAGCAAAGAGGAGCTCAAGAGCCTCTTGATGAGGGTGAAAGAGGAGAGAGAAGAAGCTGGCTTAAGCTCAACATTAAAAAAAACAAAAAACAAAAAACTAAGATCATGGCATCTGGTCCCAACACTTCATGGCAGATAGAAAGGGAAAAAGTAGAATCAGTGACAGATTTTTCTTTTCTTGGGTTCCAAAATCACTGTAGATGGTGATGCAGCCATGAAGTTAAAAGATGCTCGCTCCTTGGAAGAAAAGCTATGACAAACCTAGACGTATCCAAAAGCAGAGACATCACTTTGCTGACAAAGTTCCATCTAGTCAAAGCTATGGTTTTGCCAGTAGTCATGTACGGATGTAAGTGTTGGACCATAAAGAAGGTTGAACACTGAAGAACTGATGCTTTCGAATTGTGGTGCTGGAGAAGACTCTTGAGAGTCCCTTGGACTCTAAGGAAATCAAACCAGTCTATCCTAAAGGAAATCAACCTTGAATATTCATTGGAAGGACTGATGCTGAAGCCCCAATACTTTGGCCACCTGATGCAAAGAGCTGACTCACTGGAAAAGACCCTGATGCTGGGAAAGATTGAGGACAAAAGCTGAAGAGGGCGGCAGAGGATGATATGGTTAGATAGCATCACTGACTCAGTGGACTATCCAGGAGCTAGTGAAGGACAGGGAAGCCTGACATGCTGCAGCCCATGGGGTCGCCAAGAGTCAGAGATTAGAGACTGAACACCACCATCCCAGTAATGCTCCCAGCCCTAGGTCCTCAGTGATCTGCTTTCTGTTTCCATGGGTTTCCCTTTTCTGGACATTTCATATAAAGAGAATCAAATATGTGTTTTGAGTCTGCCACAATTTTGCATAATGTTTTAGAGGTCTTTGTACTATTAATATTTTAGTGGGACACTGGGTGAAATTTGAATAAGATTTGTAAATGGCTGATAGTATTGTATCAATGTTAATTTTTGAGTTTACATAATTGAATTATAACTATATAAGATTTTAACATTAGAGGAAGCTGGGTGATAGGAAATGTGTGCTATTTTTGCAACTGTTTTGGTAAGTAAAATAATTTCAAAATAAATCTTTTTTTTGTAACTTAAGCTTGGGGTCTGAGTCGTGCACTGCTTATGCTTGTCTATGGTACTGAGACTGTGGTTTCTTTTCAACAGAGTGGGTTGGCTGGCCTTTCCATTTCCAGAGGTCCTTGGTGAGCCCAGTTTCCAGAATGTTCTCCAGGGAAAAGTAGGGGCTAGTATAGGGGCCTAGGCCTGAGTCACTGAGGCCTGGCCTGCAGGGGTGTTAGTTCAGGTAAGTCGCTCAGTCGAGTCTGATTCTTAGCAACTGCACAGACTGCAGCACACCAGGCCTCCCTGTCCATCACCAACTCCTGGAGCTTGCTCAAACTCATGTCCATTTAGTCGGTGATGCCAGCCAACCATCTCATCCTCTGTGGACCCCTTCTCCTCCCGCCTTCAATCTTTCCCAGCACCAGGGTCTTTTCTAATGAGTCAGTTCTTCACATCAAGTGGCCAGAGTATTGAAGTTTCAGCCTCAGCATCAGTCCTTCCAATGAACACCCAGGACTGATCTCCTTTAGGATGGACTGGTTGGATCTCCTTGCAGTCCAAGGGACTCTCAAGAGTCTTCTCCAACACCACAGTTCAAAACCACCAATTCTTTGGCACTCAGCTTTCTTTATGGTCCAACTCTCACATCCATACATACTACTGGAAAAAACATAGCTTTGACTAGATGGACCTTTGTCAGCAAAGTAATGTCTCTGCTTTTTAATGTGCTGTCTAGGTTTGGTCACAGCTTTTCTTCCAAGAAGCAAGTGTTTTTTCATTTCATGGATGCAGTCACCACCTGCAGTGATTTTGGAGCCCAAGAAAAGTCTGTCACTGTTTCCATTGTTTCCCATCTATTTGCCATGAAGTGATGGGACCGGATGCCATGATCTTATGGTTTCTTCAGGGGTTTAGGGATGAGTTTTTTCATTTCTCTTCAATGTTGGCACTTCCAGGGCTGGCTGCTAAGGAGGGTGAGTGGGTGGCTTCTGCATGGAAGGCCTTAAGCTCAACTTCTGTCAGCCTGAGCAAGGCCCAACCCTGAGAGGCTGGGGAAGCTCAGAGAGAGGGAGGTGCAGATCAAGAGATCTGGAGAGGGTTTCAGGGGCTGAGCCCCCAGCTGTTGCCTGGACATCTGCCCAGGGACTTCCTCAGAAGCTGCTGATATTAGGCCTCAGCTTCCTGCTGCCAGCTCAGAAGAGTCTGTCTCGGCCTCAGAGGAAATGAGAGCTTGTCAGAGAAGACAGCCTGAACATGTGCAGACACACATGGACACACAGAGGCCCATGAAAGAGCTTCAAAATAATCGTCAACACCTTGACCGATGGGATCACAGCATGGAGACACACAGGTTCATGCAAACACTGGCACACAGCCCACCCATGGCGCATGTGTCCCACCCTTCAGGGAGCCTGGCTAGGGCTGGAGGAGAGACCGGAGCAGGGATCCTAGTAGGGGCCGAACTGGTGGAGAGACCTGGAGGAGCATCTGGTTTCTGCTCCCTGGTGCTCCTGTCTCTGTTTCAGCCATTTCCACGTCACAGAGCACCTACCACTGCTATGGGAAGACTCGTCCAAAGCAGAGCACAGGCTTGCAGACCCGCCCCTGCTCCTGAGAAGCTCCCAGTAACCCCAGCTGGGTGCAGCTTGTTCTGGGGGGACCGTGATAGACAAGGGGCATTCGCCGGGTGTTGAGCAGGTGATGAGAGGCTAACGGGAATTCTTGGGGAGCCTAACAGGCAACAAAGCCCTCAGGCTGGAACCCAGGCTTGGGCAGCAAGGAAAGAGGCCAGGTGGGCAGCGAGGGCGGAGCTCCCCAGCTCAGAGCACCGCGACGCATGGAGACTCCCCAGCGTGACCAGGCAAAGGGGTGCAGGGCGTCCTGGCATCCTACCAGCCGGTGCAACGGTGGCCGCCCCAGATCCCACAGCATGGCTTGTACCAGTCTGGACTCTGTCACCGCTGACCAAAACCCACTTCAAACCAACCTGAGCCAAAGGAGAAGTGACCGTTTTACAAAATGGAAAAGCTGAACAGTCAGGGGGTTGTTTCAGGCAAGGTGGCCCCAGGGCTTCAGGACGTAAGCCGCCTGTCTTCTCACAGCCTAGCCCCGTGCTGGCTCTGTCTTCCTCAGGATGGCGAGCGGCTGGAAGTTGCCCTCAGGAATCTCCCTCCCATTCCAAGTTCCCTTCCCCAAAGTGCTAAGGAAGTTGCCAGGACTCCGGCTCACCATCTTGGGTCAGCCTTGGCTCCCACAGGCAGTTTTGGCCTGCATGTCTGCCCCGCAGGCCTGGGGGTGGGAGGCGGCTCTGTCCAGGGCACAGAAGCTGAGTGTGGGCAGGGCTGAGACTTCACGAAGAGGGACGCTGGGCAGGCAGAAACGCCAGGTGACTGTGTGTACCAGGGCCAGAGGTGCAGAGAGGACAGCTTCAGCCATCCCAAGGGGGCTGACCAGGCCAGTCCAGTGGCCCTTGGGATGGCCCACATGCATGGAGCTCAGGCAGCTGTAGAACTGGTGGACATTCTGTTTTCTGGAAGGGAGCAAGGACTTGGCTCTGCCCGGTGTGGGCTGGGTGCTTGGAGTACCCTGTAGTCAGAGTTGCATGTTATAAAACAACCCCAGCTGGGTAGCGGGAGATAGAGGAGTGGGTTGATGGGGGGTCAGGGCCAGGAGTCCGTGAGGGGCAAGTGGGCTTTGGAAGACGGCACTGGGGGTGGATTTGAGAATGATTAGGACTTGGGAAGTGGTGGCAATGGGTGGTTCAAGTAGGAGCGTCTCGATTCCTGAGATCAGATCCTGGACAAGAGAAGGTCTGGAGGGCCTTTGGGGACACTCGGGTGACCTGGCAGCTGAAGCAAGCCTAAGGTGGACAATTTGAGTCCTGCCTGCGCAAGGCTAGGCCAAGAAGGCCCACAAGGACTGGGAGGAGGAGGCTGGGCTGTCGCCAGGTAACCGCTCTCTCCAGCCCAGGCTCCATGTGGTCCTGTTTCCGCCTGCTCGCTGCCACGGCTCTCCCAGGCTTGGCCACGCCCCCTCCCCACCCCCGGCCGCTGAGGAGGGCGGGGAGAGCCGGCCACTCTTCCTCTCCGGGCCAGCCTCCGAGCAGCAGACGAGGGTGATCAGGCCCCGCAGATAACCCGCTCACAGGCCAGCCTGGCCGCCAGAGCCGCCGTCACCATGAAGGACGAGGTAGCTCTTCTGGCCACTGTCACCCTCCTGGGCGTCCTGCTGCAAGGTGGGCTGGCTCCTGCTCGGGAGGTGGGTGGGCCTCGGATCCTGCGGTCTGCCTTCCTGCCTCCAGGCTCTGCGCAGGGTTGGGGGAGTGCTGGGAAGGCCAGGCCGAGGTGAGGGACAGCCCAGACTCCTGGTACTCGAGCTTTCCTGACCCCAGAGGAAGGGATGCTCCAGGGCTGAAGGCCTGGCACTTCCCTAAGTGGGAAGGGGAGAGGCCCTGGAGGGGTGTCTGCAGGGCAAACTGAAACTCTGGGCAGAGGTGCCTGACCTAGGGGATGGGCAAGGAAATGGAAAAAGGCTCCCGAGGGATGCCTGAGGTAGGCATGCGGGATGCCTGCCTTGGGGTTGGGGGTGGTCCCTTGACCAGCATAAAGAGCTCTGGAGGAGGGCAGGGCTTTCAGTGAGAAAGTGAGGCATCCAGCCGTGTTGGACCTGAGCAGGAGGGCAGGCTGCCAGCATGAATGGATGTTCTGATGGTGGGTGTAGAAGTGGGACAGCCAGCCACGGGCCTGAGGCAGCCCTACTCCAGATGACCCCTGCCCTCTCCAAGTGTCTCTTCACTGGGTGTCCCAGTGGGAGGACCCCATCTCCTGGCCCTGCCTTCAAAGGCACTCTCTTTATCCTGGAACCGTGTGAAGCTGGACAGGGTTGAAACCCCCCAGAGGTGCCTGTTGAGTGCTCTTTTCAGATTGGCCCTAGATCACACATTCCTGGGACCGACATGCCCCAGGACAAGACACAGCCTGAGGCAGGGGCCCTGGAGGGGCTGAACAGACAGACAGAGTTGATCTCCAGCCATGCCAGTGAGCTCACCCCTCAGGCCCTGCTCATGTAGACACGGGGCCGCCCTCCAGGCCCTACATGGTGCTGGCAAGCCCACCCTGGTATTTACAGTGCATTCAGGTTGGGCCCTACAGAAAGCCTGGCACCAAGAGCATCAGAGCCACAGAATTTGCAGGAAACTAGTTGGAGGCACCCAGTACTGCAACTGTGTATGTGGTAGGCATCTGGCTGAGACCAGGTAGAAGGGTTCCTGTGCACTCAGGCTCTCAAGAGTCGGCGCCCACTCTCTCTGTATCCATCGGTGTCGGAAGGCAGAGGGGCAGAGGCCGGTGGTTCGGACTTGGACTGGAGGAGTCCCAGCTGCTAACCACCTGGGGGCAGAGGACAGGGTATCTAGACCCTGACTGAGGCAGGGTCCAGAGAGCCTGAACGGAGAAACTGAGGCAGGACTGGAACCACAGTTTGCAGGCACAGCAATCTAGGAGGTCCCTCCCGGTGAACTCTGCGGGTAGGGGAGCAGGGACGACGGCCACAAGGTGTGTGCTCCCTTGAATCTGGAAGGATGCAGCCAACGGTGGCTCAGTTGGTAAAGAACCTGCCTGCAATACAGGAGACCCGGGTTGGGAAGATCCCCTGGAGAAGGAAATGGCAACCCACTCCAGTATTCTTGCCTGGAGAATCCCTTGGACAGAGGAGTTTGGTGGGCTACAGTCCATGGGGTCTCAAAGAGTGGGACAGGACCGAGTGACGAACACTTTCACTGTCACTACCTTCAAGTGGGACTCCCAGTCCAAGGACGTGGGACTCCCAGTCCAAGGACGTGGGCCACAGTCCATGCCTAGAGGGTGGGAATTGGGTATCTGCTTGTGTTTTCCAAGTCAAACTAATTCAGGAGCAAAGTCCTTTTGATGGCAGGTGTCCTGTGACGTGTCATCCCTTCCTCCTACACTTACTGGGCTGGACAGGACCTCTCAGAGCCCCAGGCCCACACCCAGCCCTTCCTATTGAGTGTCATGGACACCGGAGAAGAGCGGGGTCCGGCGGTCCTCTATGTTGGGCTTTAAAGGGGAGTCTCCACGAGCAGGGCGTGGAGCAGGGATCAGAGAAGATGTGCAGCCAGGCCGGGAGTCAGGGTGCCGAGTCTGACTCCTGCAACCCCTCTGTCCCCAGCCTACTTCTCTCTGCAGGTGATCTCGGCGCGCAGGGCCTTCCGCGTGTCGCCGCCGCTCACCACCGGCCCGCCGGAGTTCGAGCGCATCTACAGAGCCCAGTGAGCCGCGGTGGGAGGGCGCGGGGTGGGCAGCGAGGCAGCCCCCGGGCGGGCAGGCTCTGAGGGGCGCCTTCATGCTGCCCCGCCCGCACCGCAGGGTGAACTGCAGCGAGTACTTCCCGCTGTTCCTCGCCACGCTCTGGGTGGCAGGCATCTTCTTTCACGAAGGTTTGGACGTGGGCTAGGGGCGCATGCATTGGAGCCTGGGGGTCCCCGCAGCGGCGGGCTGAGCTCAGCCGGCCTCGCCGTCCCCTCCCCTGCCCCAGGTGCGGCGGCGCTGTGTGGTCTTGTCTACCTGTTCGCGCGCCTCCGCTACTTCCAGGGCTACGCGCGCTCTGCGCAGCAAAGGTGAGAAGCGGGGCGGGGTGGCTCCCCGGAGGTCCGCCGGGGCAGGGCGGTGACGGCCGAGGCCGCTAGCGGAGCGCGGGCGGGACCGGGCGGCTGGTTGGAGGTGGGTCCCTTTGGGGTCCAGTGGGCGGGTTCCCGGTGGAGGCGGGCCGTGGGGTCTGGCTGGGTTCGGCGTCCTGCCCCGCCGCCGCTGAGCCCCACTCGCAGGCTGGCCCCGCTGTACGCGAGCGCGCGCGCGCTCTGGCTTCTCGTGGCCCTGGCGGCCCTTGGCCTGCTCGCCCACTTCCTCCCGGCCGTGCTGCGCGCCACGCTCCTTGGACAGCTCCAGAAACTGCTGCTGAGAGCCTGAGATGGAGGACGCCGGGACGACGGAGCAGCAGTTGAGCCGGAGCCTCCTCCAGTTTCTCATTAAATCGCCCATGACAGGACCCCGAGTGCACTCTTTCGGTCGAAATGGGTCGCGCAGTGCGGGTTGTAGAGCCTGCAAGGGCCTAACTTCGGCCCGTAGCAGTTGAGTGGGCTGCCGGGCGGGGAGGGGCTGCGGAGGCAACAGGCCGCTCCTCCCCACCCCGCCGCCCCGCGGGAGCTCGATCGGGTCCCGGGTCCTGTCCTGTTCCCAGACCCCAGAGGCACACGCCCGGGGCGCAGGCGCCGCCAGTGCTCACCCAGGGCTTCTCCCTGCGGTCAGTGTTTTCCTCACCTGTCCCTCTTCTATGAATCCTGCCTCTCCGCTGACCCTCAGCCGCCCCATTCCGTATGCCCTGGCCTTCACAGCCAACACAAGGGACTTTTTGGATCCGAACTGGGTTACTGGCATCTAGATGCCTAGGTGGCACTGTGGTAAAGAATTCGCCTGCTAATGCAGGAGACACAGGAAACATGGGTTCGATCCCTGGGTAGCGAAGATCCGCTGGAGGAGGAAATGGCAATCCACTCCACTATTCTTGCCTTGAAAATCCCATGGACAGAGGAGTGGGGTGGGATGGGGTCACCAGAGTCGGCTGTGGTTGAGCACAGGTGTTCCAGACAACCTGTTGCAGCCACCAGAGCTGGGAAAGACGATGAATGTCAATTTGGCTGATTGGCGTGCTCCAATATTGTTGCCTGGAAAATTCCACGGACAGAAGAGCCTGGCGGTCTACAGTCCATGGGGTTGCAAAAACTCGGGCACGACTGAAGCGGCTTAGCGCGCACACACAGGCGCTCTCCAGTAAACATCTGGGTGTCTTGGGGCCCAGATCTGGAAGGAATGCCCACCGGGAATAGTCCCTAAAAAGGTGGCTTTTAGCTGAGAATGGAGAGAGGAATTGGGTAACAGCAAAGGCGCTGAGCCAGCTGAAAGCCCTAAAATGGGTCAGAGACCAGGGGCTGGAGCAGGGCCTTGGAAATGGGGGTCAGCAGGGTGAGACCCATGAATGCATGGGGTGTGGAGACGGGGTGTGCCTTTGGTGAGAGGAGGCTGCAGGCACTTTGAGAGCTATAATGGGTGCTAGGGGGAGTGCCCTGATGAAAGTCATCTAGGAAGTGGGGGGGGGGGGCCCAGATTCCACATTAGCTCCATCAGTTACCTAGTTATCAAGCCGCCACTCCCAGGAAATGGAAGCTAGGTCGAGCTGAGCCCCACTGCCAAGGCAGGGGCTCTGGATGATATAGCCGGATTAGAGGCGAACACGTCATTAACCCTTTATTACAAGGAACGCTCTTATAGAAGTATATGTGGACTTAACGTGAAAAAATCAAATGTATCCAAGAATAAAAAACACAGCACATAAAGTAGTATATGCATTCCAGTGTTCGCGCCAGAGACAGTGGTGCCCAGGGGAAAGCTCTTCTAAAACGGCGTGGCCCATGGGGGCCAGGAGGGAGCGGCTCTGGGCGGCGCGGCCGGCCTCAGGCACAGTGTAGGCGCCGCCTGCCTCTTCCCCGCGGCCGGCGGGCGGGGCAGCACCAGTTCCTGGGGCCTCCGGGCCAGCGGCCACCCCAGGCCGGCGGAGCACGGTCCCAGGCAGAACCCCGCAGACTGGGGCGGCCGTGCCTGGCTCTCCGGGGGCTGCGGCGACATCTCAGGTCTCCTGGGCTTCAGGACCAGCTGAAATGCACCTTCATAAGTCTCAGCTTAGTCAGCCTTTTTCAGGAAAATCTGCAAGAACCAGGCTCAGTGTCAGCTGGGGTTTCAGAGAGAGCTGGGATTTAGCTGCTGGGTACAGCTCCCCATCCCCTGCCCCATATCACCTCGCTCAGAATGACCCACACAGGTGAGTCTGTCTGGATGGAGAGGCGCAGTGCTTCCAGGGGGCCAAAAGCAGGATCCACTTCACCCTGTGCCACGCCCTTGTAGAAGGAGCCTGGGGGAGTGCAGCAGTGAGGGGCGGCCGAGAGCCCTGCTCCTCGAGCCTCACCCGCCTCCGCTTGGTGCCCCGCACTCACCTATCTGGAGGTAGCCGTCAGGGCTCCGGGGGTACTGCAGAGTGACCGCATGGCCCTCCTGCAGGGCCTCCTTGTCTGACTGGGGGTTCTGGGGGCAAAATCAGAGGCTGAAGCCAGTGGCTGTGGGAGGGGCTGGCCTCCGTGCACACCCACCCCCCACCACACTCACATCAAAGGGCAACACCTCCACAGACGTGTTGAACAGCTTGTCCTCTGGGTGCTCGATGTTGCCACTACGGAAGAAGAACCTGCGGCCAGACAGGCCTGTGAGCTGCTGTAGGGGTGGGGCATCGCCTAGGCACGATACCCAGTAGAGAACAGGCCAGGCCTGGGCCAGGAGAGCAGTCAGTGGTGAGGGGGTAACAGGAAGGAAGGCCAGGGGTCTCCAAATGGAGGAAACGTGCTGCAAGGGTTAGACATTTTTTTCCTTCTCTATACGAAATTAAGAGGTAAAATCTATGTTGCCATGATGACACCTGGTTCCACCTGAACTTTTCTTAAACCATAAGCTAACCAATGTTTTTATGGAAATGGTTTTTTTAAGCTATGTTAATGAACTATGCATTTATCCTAGACTGTCTTTTTTCAAGTTGGCTCTGCTTAAGACTCAGAACTGACAAGGGCTCAACAAACCAGTGTGTTTTACTCATACATTGTTCTCCTCTTCTATGTTATGAAACTATATATTTACTCGGAAACCTGCCTTTCTTCAAGATTCATGTCAATTGATTTATGGCCTGGGATGACTCACCTTGTGCCAATGTTATCTCAAAATGCATGTTGTGGATGAGGGGCCTGGTGCCACTCTTGAGTTTTGAGACATCTCCTTTCTCTAATTAGCAGCCTGCTGGTAGGTCTACAACATACTGCTAAAGACTAGCAGGGGGCACTCTTTCTGCCCCCTTCTGATGTCTATGTCAGAAGCTTTCTCTCTTTTATACTTTGATAAAACTTTATCACACAAAAGCTCTGAGTGATCAAGCCTGGTCACTAGCCTGGGATTGAATTCCTCTCCTCCGGAGGCCAAGAATCCCAGCATCTTTCAGGGCTCAGCAATAGCCTCTAAGTGGGCCCTGTGGTACTGGGCCAAGTTGGGCACCACCCAAAGCAGTCGCTGGACTATATAAGGCAACTAACTCATAAGGCTGATGGTGACAAGCTATGTCCCCAAGCTCCTGTGGGCGATGCTGGACTTGCCTTTACGAAGGAACTACTGTTCTTTTTCTTTTTGTCCTCACCACACACAGCTTATGGATCTAATTTCACCAACCAGGGACTGAACCTGGGTCCACAGCAGTGAAAGCCTGAGTCTTTCCACTGGACCACCAGGAATTCTGTAGCTACTGCTCTGAGCTACACTTTTGAGATAAGAAAACCTAACAATATTAAATAATCTGCTGGGGGATCACAGAGGGGAATCTGTAGGGTCAGAAATTTGTGGTGAGGCTTGAACTGCAGTAGCCACCCTCCCCCTCCCCCAAAGAGGATCTGTGGGCGCTGGCACTGACCGCTCCAGTCGCAGCGGCTGGAAGAAGCGGAAGCGGATGAAGTCCCCCGCAGAGGGCGTGAAGGCCCAGAAGAAATCCTCGTGCAAGTAGGCCTTCTCCAGGGTGAAGTGCTGGTATGTCTTGAGGCTCGTGCTCACTTCTGCCGGTGGGTTCGCGTGCTCCATGCGCAGCGCGTGCTTCCCGAAGTCCCTGTCCTGCAGCGGCGGAGGGACAGAGTGCTCGGGTGGGCCTGCGCCTGCCCTGCCCCCTCCGGCCCAGCCTCAGCCCAGGCTCTGCTGTGCTCGACCAGGCTCCAGCGCGGCACTGCCCACCTTCAGTTTCTGGATCTTGCCCGCCAGTGAGGAGTGAGTACCCACGTGCTGGAAGAGGGACGGCTTGAAGCGGATCCGCAGGTTGGCCTTCTGCCGGTCACAATGCTTCTGTGGAGGGAGGGTGACACACTGGGGCTTAACTTAACTCCACCTCTGAAGACAGAAACTCCTCCAGCCAGCAGCACACAGCCTCCTCCTGTCGGGGGCATGATCCCCAACACAGTCCTTGACGGAGGCTGCTTGCTCCACCGCCCCTGCCCGTCTCTGTGCAGGCCGTGCTCACCGCATCCTTCTCGGGGTTGCAGACCTTCACCCACAGAATGTGGTCCAGGAGCCAGTCAATGGGCTTGTCCCGGTAGAACATAAGGATGAACTCCACAATGACGCTCAGGTCCAGCGACTTGAACATCTTCCCTGAGGGTAGGAGCAGGGGAAAAGGGTGCTGAGAAGGCAGCTCTGCCCTGACCTACTTCCTCTTAATCGCTGTGGGGGACTCCGGGGAGGGTTCCACAGCAAAACCTTTGGCTGGCTGCAGGCAGGTGTGGGTAAGAAGAGGGTGGATGGGCTGGGGAGCCCAAACATCTTGATGCAGAGGGGCAGGAAGGAATAGGCCAGGTGGGGCTACAGCGGGCACTCTAGGAAAAGGCTCAGAGCCTGACCTGGGCTTGGGAACAGGGCGGGGGGCTGAGAGCTGATGACAGAGGCAGATGTGGGCAGACAGAGGCAGAGATATTCTGGTCAGGCCAGTTGGGCAGGGAGGGGGCTGGCACACCAATGAAACCCAGCTGGGAGAACTCCAGGATCATCCAGTCTTCCGAGGGCTGCTGGAGTGCAAAGTTCTTCATGGTGCTCAGGTAGTTGGGCTTGGCTATGATGTCATCTTCCAGCTGCACAGTGGTGGGTAGGTAGAAGGGGGCCAGGACTTAGGATGGGCACAGGGAGGGCAGGGCTCACCACCCAGGCCCGTGCAGGGGGAAGGGGGACAGAGCAGGGTATCAGTGCTCACCTGCACGTAGTAGATGCCTTTGGACTGTGCATACATCATGAGGAAGCAGTAATCAAGGTTCTGTTTGGTCCTCCACCTGTGGACCAGGGGCAGGGGCCTCAAGAGCTCAGATCCCTCCACCTCCAGTGTGGCCACCACATAGGCGACCGAGTGGGTAGCAGGCCCCCCTCCCCCATGCAGGGGTCCACCAATGGAACAACGGAGGCACTGCAGAAAAGGACTTGGGACTCAAGACACCCACAGGCTTGGTTCCTTAGCACAGGTGGGCAGGTTGTTGGGGGCACAGGGAAAGGGATAGGACTAGTACCTGACTCTCTCCTTGGGGTCCCCAAAGGACTCTCGGAGGCGGGAGAAGTCAGGGTAGAAGTGGGGAGAAGGGGAGATGACTTCCAGGAGCCCAGAATGGATCTCCGTAGGGAACCTGGGGACAGGAAGGCCCAGTGAGTGCAGACTCCAGGGACCAGAGTGGGTCAGAGCTGAGCTAGCTAGAGCCCATCCTTTCCTTAAAGCCCACCAGGCAGACATCCCCCAATACCACACGCATCCTACAGACACACACAGGCTTCAGAGGGGTTGGGCCATCTCTACACACCCACCCCCACAGCCAAGAAGGGGAGCACCCTTCCCCACAGATGGAAGGCGCCTGCCTGCCCAACACCTCGCAAAGAGTCCTCCCCTCACCAGCCATGCTGGGCTGGCAGTACTCACAAGGCCTTGATATTCTCTGTCACCAGCGAGGTATACTGTGGGTCAGTCTGCGGGAAGACCAAGTGCCCTCCCTGAGTCAGGTTGTCACCCCAAATGGCCTGGAAGAAAAGGCTGGGGGAAGGACACAGCTCTTTCTCCCACCGTCCTAAAGGCTAAGTAAGGCTGGGCCTAGTGACTCAGAAAAAGTGCCTCAGAAAAAGCCCTTCTAGATACCTGGGGCCAAGGGGTGGGGCGGACTATGTAACTTCACATCCTCAGGAGGGGAAAGTAAACTGTCTCTTTCAATTTTTTACCGTGGCAAGTTTGTGAATGAAACCAACAACTGAACTTGTGAGTCTCTTCCTCTGAAACCCTGCAGTTTCCCTCTCCCTGCCCCTTTGTGTCGCATGCCCTGCACTGCGCGCCCCCCGCCTGGCCCCACCCACTCGCCTCAGCAATCAGCACCACGATGACGGAGTCCTCCTTCTCCTGTGGGCTCAGCTCCGAGATGAGTGAGTGCAGCGTGTCCGTCAGGTAGGAGTGCACCTCGCGCCGCACGCTGGGGATGCCCATCACCACCGACACTGCGGGGACGCAGAGGGTCAGCCCTGGGCACACGTGGGGATCGCCCCACCGCCCGCCTCTGGCCTCTCCTGGGCCCCCCTACCTCCGGTGCGGCCCTGGCCCACGCGCACGGCTGGCTGCAGGCTGCTTTCCTTGGCCAGCAGGTGTGGCAGGTGGTGGAAGACAGTGGGCAGGTGCAGCACGTGCTTGTGCGAGACGTTCCACGGCTTCAGACGTGGATCCTCTGGGTGGGTCGAGAAGGAGCAGGTCAGACAACAAGCTTAACCATCAGCTTCGCGTCCCCACTGCGTCGCACTCCCGCACCTCACCAGTTAGGCGGCCCCAGGTGCGATTGCTGTCTCCATCTCGCAGTGCCTGTCTCTCGGACATGGCCCTCTTGATCTCATCCAGCACCAGGTTGAGCTCCTTGGAGCGCTTGAGGCTCTCCTGCTCGGCTGCATGCAAGCGGTCACGCAGGGCCAGGAACTCCCGCTGGTAGACATCCACCACATCACCTGTGAGTGGTATGCATGCTGTCACCAGGGGGCAGCCTAGAGCTGACCTGCTGCCCCCTGAGTGTGTCAGCACACATATCTGTTCACATGCGCTTACATAAGAGTCACTCTGAAGTCACAGTGACACTCACACCTGCAGAAGAAAAGCCTCCACAGGGGGAATTAGCCCTCTCCAGGGCTCTCCCTTTATTTTCTCCAGAGGAGATGTCTGAAGTGGGAAGGCTGCAGGATCACTTCCAGGCCCAGGTGGGACAAACTAAGCTAGAGGTGGAAAAGCCTAGGACTGAATTCTCTCCTCCCAGTAGCTCTCACAGCCCCTTCCTGCTTCTCCTTGCAGCATCTCCTCCTTCCAGGAGGTAGGACATCCAAGGTGCCATCCAAGACCCATCTTCCTCAAGCAGTTCTGATGTTGAGGCCAGCCTTCCCCTGTTCCTTCTTTCAGCCTCTGCAGTTGGCTTCCCACCCCACTTCACAGAGATCACAGGCAGCCCCATCCCCAAAGCTCCCTGGGGACAGAAAACCTCCCTGAACATCCCCTCCTATCCTCCAAGTAGGACCAAGCCCCGGACATTCTACACTAGACACCAGCTCTGGATTCATAATCTCACACAGTGTGGGGGGGGGGGGTGGTGGTGGTGGGGGGACTGCTGCAGTTACAGCCCCCAGTGCTCAGAGGAGCAAATGAAGTTGAAAAATGAGTCACAGGTCCCTCAGCAAGGCAACAGCAGAGAGTGAACACAAGCTCTCAATGCCCTGTGGCCTGCTTCTCTGAAGAGCTGTCCCAGGCCTATGCCATGCCACCCAGAGGAACCTGTATCAGACCCTCCAGCTGGGTCCCATCTGCAGGCTCTGAGGACATGGGCCTGAAGCAGCCCAGAGGTGGGACTGCCTGACGGTGGACAAGGAGCCCCAGGGTGCCAAGTACTCGGCTCCACTGGTCTGGCAGGGCTGAGCAATCAAGAATGAGACAGAAACAACAGTGCTATCTGCTGCTGCTGCTGAGGCAGCCAGGTCCTGCCAGGCTGTTCACTCTCAAGACCTTTTCGGATCTGGCTTTTGCCCTCTTTATTTGCTATCACACACACTGCCTTTTCCTCGTCTGACATCTATGCTTTCACACATGCTTGTTTCATCTGCCTGGGATTCCCTTTTCTCCTCTGTGCCTAATGAAAGCCCATGGAGCCTTCAAGGCCTCAGTGCAAAAATCTCCAAGTCTAGGAAGCCTTCTAGATTTCTCCCCTCTCATCCTTAGGCAGCTCTTATATTCCTTAATCCCTCAGGGGGATCACAACCCCCAGAATGCCCTGGGACGGTGTCACTTTGCCACAAACAGATACTCCAAAGGTCATGACCAAGGCAAAATTCGGTCATCCCAGGACACCCCCTTTCTGTAGCTAGGGCAGAGGTCTAAGTGCTAAGTTCCGGAAAAAGAGAAAGGAGTAGCCCCTAGGATGGACAGAGAGGCTTGGGGGGGGCGGTGGAGAGAAGAGCAGGGGAGCCAAGCAGATCCTTGATAAGGCACTCCGAAGTCAGACGTGCCCCAGTCTCCCTCCCCACATGCTGCCCCCGGGGCCAAAGGCCAGGCCGCGTCAAGCTTCTGTGCTCAGGAGCAGCCCCACCGCGGCGGGAGTTAGGAGTCAGGCTACCAGATCTTTGAGCCTCTGCACTGGGTTCTGAGGCCAGGTTACCCCAGAAACCAGACCCTTCAAACAGGGAGCTGGCCACGCCCAGCGGCCAACAGGAAGGGTCACCGGGGAGTGCTGAGGCCCAGCAGGGTGTGGTTCAGAGCCGCCTGAGCAGGGAGGTTGCCTCTGTCCTGCACAGTCTCCACCTACCTACCTACCGTCCCTGATACCCACCCCAATACTACTGGCTTACCCCAGGAAGCCCCCTGCAGCGGGGCCCTCTGTGAGGTGGAGGGAGCGTAAGGAGGCCTCACCCTCTGCCTGCTGCCCCCACTCCCCCCACACACGGCCTTCTCTGATTTTTAAGTTGGCTGAGCTCTGTCCAACCTTAGCCTATCGTAGGTGGGCCCAGAGGTGGGCCCTGCTGATCTGAATCACCCTGACCACTGAGGCCTGGGCACAGCCTGCTTCCTATCCTGGTCCTCTTGCCAGAAGCTTTCCTCCTTCCAAGTCCTGGGGGCAGCTGTGGCCACACTACTGGAGGCTTTCCTGCCCCTCCCTCTACCAGAAGGCAAAATAATCAAGATATCTGAGGCCTACAGACCACAAGCTTCCCTTTGGTTCCCTCGTCATTAAAGAAACAGATTTCAAGGTTGAAGCTGGGGCACAGACCTTGTGCCCTGTACTGAGGGATGGAAAAATAGGCTCAGAGAGGCACAGGCAGGTGCCAGGCCCAGTGAAGGGATGCTGTCAGCCTGCAGTGGGGCAGAAGCATGGAGATGGGGGCAGGTGTCCACCTCCTCTCCAGGATTTGCATCCACCCTCCCAGGGGTTAAGATGGGCATCCATCATTGCTGAAGTCTAAGAGAGGGGACAGCCTAGACACAGGGGAGGGCAGGGTGGCTGAGGCTAACCCCCTGGAGAGTCTGCTGCCTTCCCTGGGGACCTTGAGCAGGGCTATAACTGGAGCATTAGTGGAGCTGATGCACAAATTTTGTCAAGGCTGGATGTGAAAGTGAGCCTGAAACCTGCATCCAGGGTCCGTCTTGCCAAGGCCTACCTGTCCTTCCTGGCCCTTGGCTTCCAGGATGCCACCTGCTCCTACTTTCCTTTCTCTCTGGCTCGCTGCCCACCTCTTCCCTTCCCTACAGATCTGGGTTCCTGTGCTTTTCCTCTAAGCATCCATGCCAGGGTGAGCCCTCTCCTGAGCTCCCTGTTCACTGCAAACTGGAAGCCAAGGTCCAGCCTGGTCTTAGATTTAGTCTGGCTTCCCTGCAGGCTTAATACAGTCATCTGAATGTAAAAATGAGAAAGGTTCATATAAGAGCCCAGACTCGGGTTTCTCTTCAGGCCTTCGAAGACCAGATCTTACTGGGCCCCCCAAAGAGTAGCAGCCCTCAGTAGGGAAGGCCCAGGTGACCCTCTTGTCACATGTCACAGGCTTCTGGGCTTTCAGGCCCCAGGGACAAGGACCCTGCATCTGAACCCCACTTCTTTGACCAGGCTCCTGGATGCTTCTTCCCTTAGGGAGCTGCTACTGCTGCTGCTAAGAAGCTTCAGTCATGTCCGACTCTTTGCAACCCCATGGGCCGTAGTCCGCCAGGCTCCTCTGTCCATGGGATTCTCCAGGCAAGAATACTGTAGTGGATTGCCATGCCCTTCTCCAAGAGATCTTCCCAACCCAGGGATCGAACCCGAATCTCTTAAGTCTCCTGCACTGGCAGGCAGGTTCTTTACCACTAGGGCCACCTGGGAAGCCCTAGGGAGAGTAGGCCTAAATGGAGCCACGGGTATCGCCCTCAATCCCATGCTCCTGGATACTGTGGCTAGTCAGCCTCACAGTCTGGTGTCTGGCACAGGTGGGGGTCTGACACTGCAATTCCTGACATCCAGCTGAGAGCATGTGGCTGCTGCAAGAGGCACCAGGAACTGTGGCCTAGCCCAGAACAGGGTGCAAGGGTTCATTACTTCACTCACAACTGCACAAATGTGCCCCAGCCCATCAGGTATGGCCCCACCTTGGCCTCCAAGTCAGTCTGCCTACCTGGCCACTCTCCCAAGGGTCCAAAATGTCCTTCCCTAGGTGACACACCTCACCCACACAGCACTCTGCCCCAGCCATGCCCTTGCCTGGGTCATACACTCCACATACATAGATCTACAGAGAACTCTGCTCCAGCCGTGGCCTCCATGTACGAAGTCCTAGGGTTCTCCTTCCAGGCTTCTGGTGCCCCAAGGACAGCCCCAGCCTCCACCCAAACAGGGCTGGGCTGAGCTGGGCAGGCAGGAGCCAGGTGGGGACACGGGGACTTCGAGGGTCAGAAAGGCTCCCGCTCCTCCTGCAGCCTCTGCTGGGGACAGGGAAGCAGGGGGTGCAAGGGAGGCTGAGGTCAGCAGCCTCAGCACGATCCTGCCTAGGCCTCCTGCAGGGAAAGCCAGAGGCAGGAAGGAAGCAGCTTTTCCTGCTGCCTCTGGTGCTGCAGGCTGGGTTGACAGAGGCCTGTGAGGGCCTCCTCAGCCTTGTGCCCTCAGCAAAGGCTCCACTCAGCCCCATCCATCCCAACCAACATGGAGCAACTCCAGCCAGTGCTGGGGTCTGCCCCCTCAGCCCGAAGTGTGCTAGCAGACTCGGAGGGCCATGGCGGTGGACTGGCTAGCTTCATCAAACTTCACGGGAGGTCACATAAAGTAAGTGAAGCGGTAGCCAGGTGGGCTGTTCCTGAGGCCCCCAAGGCACCCCGCAGGCCAGCAGCCTGAGGAAGGCTCCCGCGGCGCCCGCATCCCCGCGGAGGAGTCCTGGGGCCAGACGTTCCGGAGGAGGGCTGCTGAGGCCCGGGGAGCCGCACGCGGAGCGGGCCGGGGTGGAGCGGTGGCGGCAGGTGACAGTGCCGCCTGGACGTCCGGCTGCCACTTCACGCGGCTCTCGGAAACGGGGCGTCCATGTGGCCCGGGGCCGGCGGGGCCGCCTCTGCCCCTGTGGCTCCCTTCCCTCTCTGAGAACTCTGAGGTCCCCCGCTCGCCAGAGAGGGCGACCCGCCCCAGCGCGGGCAAAACTCGCGGAGGCCAGTGCCGAGCGCCCGCCCGGCCCCCCGCCTCGAGGCCCAGCCCCGGCCCGAGAATTTCGTTACTCCGGCAGCAAACAAGTGGGGGCGCGGAGGGAGGGGCGTCCTCCCGCGCCGGCCGGGCGGGGAAGGGGCGCCGGCGCCGGCTTCCGGCCGCCGTCCGCGGCGGGCGCCCGAGCCCCGGCTCCCGAGGCCGGCGCCGGGGCGGGAGGGGAGCGGGGCAGGGCCGGCGGGGGAGGGGCTCACCTTTCTGGCCGCTGAGCGCCGCGTACCAGGAGAGCGAGAAGAAGGCGCACAGGCAGAAGAGCAGCAGCGTCAGGAAGGCGCCATTGCGGAGCCTCATCTCCTCAGGTACGCGGTGGGCGCCGGCGGGGCCGAGGCCGCATGGCCCGGGGGGCCGGGGCCGGAGCGCCGGGACCGGGAGGCTGCAGGGGCCCCGGCCCCGGGGCGGGGACGGGCTGCGAGCCCGGGGCCGGGCGGAGGTGCGGGCCGGCCTGCCGGGCTGCGGACCGGGCCGGGCGCCGCACCGCCGGCTCCTCCAGGCTGTGGGAAGCGGACGGCCTAGGCTCGGCACTCGGGCCGGGCCGGGCCGGGCCGGGCCGGGCTGGGTTAGGCTTGGCGGCGAGAGCCGCGGCCCGGCCTGGATCCCGGGCCGCCGCGGAGTTGGCTGCGAAGGGCGGGGCGGCCGGGACTTAAAGGGGCCGCATCACCCGCTGCCGACACCGGTACGCGAGGGGCGGGGTGGGGGACGAACGCCCGGGATCGCGCCCGTCCGCCTCGCGGCGGCGGCCCCGCGTGCGGCCTCAAACGTCCTGGACTTCGCGGGGTGCGGGTCGGGCGCCCTGGGCCCTGGTCTCGGTTAGGTCGAAGCAGGGCCTTCCAGACTGTGCGGTCCGCTGTGGTGGCGGCTTGCGTCAGCCCTCCGACCGCTTCTCAATAACGTTTTCCTTATGAACTTCCCCAACCCATGTTTGGACCTCGGTCGGGTTAACTGAGGACGCTCAGGCCCCTGTCCCAGGTCTGAGGGGTTTAGGCGGAAGTGAGACAGGCTGGGATCTGGAACCCTTAGCAGCGGTGCTGCACCTGGACAAAGGTCTTATGCAGCTACAAAACGCAAAGAAACTACAAGGGATTAAAAGTTACTGTGTGCGTGGGCAGTTGGGGCAAATTATGAACAAGATACAAAAAGACCAAAAACCCCAACTGCCACTTCTGAAGAGCCACGAGCAGAAACAGGGTACTGTGCATGTCCCTTGCACTTGGCCTGAAGGATGGGCAAACCATCTAAGCCACCCCTCCTGACTAACTCCTAGACACACCCCTTCCCTCACCCCATTTAAGGAACCAGGTTGTCCCCCCCACCTCAGTAGCCAGCAAGGGACCCGGTTACTCTCCCTCACTGCTGCAGCAGGAAGGACCCCAATAAAGCCTTGTCTGAATTTCTTGTCTCCCCTCTAAAGTCAGCTTCTGTTGATTAAGGAAGGCCAAGAACCCAGATCAGTAGCAGGTTTTTGGCACCCAGCTTGGGACAGTTGTCCACTTCCCGGGAGACGATCTGGGCGCCTGGGGGACCACCACTGGTGACAAGTGGTCACCTGAACCTCACTTTGTCCCACCTGGGGGCCTCATTAAGGCAAAGCTTAACCCTACCTCTTTGTCTCTTTCCCCTCTTGTTACCTCTCTACTTATTTCTTCTTTTCTACTCCTCTGTTGTATCCTTCTGAGAGAGCGGACCTCCTGCAGCTAATCACTGCTCTCAGCCTGTGGCTGGCAACAGCTCACCTTGACAGGTGACAAACAGGTGGGAGAGGCTGGCCTCACACAGTGCAAGCCTCGGTCCAGTGGGCTCTCCCTAACGGGAGATTTAGGATAGCGAGTGAGGTTTAAACACATCATATAGGGGCTGGAAGGCCTATCCTCCCAGTATTCTCACCTTTATTTTCCTGCTTTTTTTTCCCTTCAGCCTTTCTGTGCTTCTTCCCTGTACCTCTCCCTTGATCCTTATATCTGCAGTCGCAATCCTGTTATCCTGAAAACTTGTTTGTGTCAAGCTCTGTCATTGGTACATGTTAAATAAGGATCTTCATCTCATGCAGTTTTGTCTGTCCAACTGTTCCTGCAAGTCTCTGCTAAAATTGTGGGCATGGTGGAACACTTAAGCCTTGAAATTCAAACACAGCCCACATTGCCTGAGACTCCAGCCTTGGGTTACTTAGATATTAAAGAGAAAAAAAAGGTGGGAGATGAACTTGCATTTCCCCCTCCTCTGCCTTTGCAATGTAACTGTTTTGCCTGGGCTCTCAGGAACTTTCTGATCCATTTGTAGTCCCCCAGACTGAGGAAAAGAAAAAGAGACATTTTATTTTTGGGGAATTACACACCTTTTTTATTTACAGTGATGGTGCAGATGATCATGATGATGTAAGCTGCAAGTGTACAGCGTTATAAAACAACATCTGTATATACTACAGAGCGATCACCACTATAAGTTTAGTTAGCATCCATTGTCGGGAGCCGCCAGGACATGCCTGGGCCGTGACGAGGTCACGGGAGGAGAGAGGAACCTGCAAGGCAGCTCTTCCCCTCGAGGTTGTCCCGGGGGCCGGTATGTCCCTTTCTTCCTTCTGTCTTACTGTTGCTGGGCTTTCTATTAATTTTTGGAAATATAATGTATAGTAATAAGGCCTCCCTGGAAAAGTCCAAGCCTTTTTGGAAATGTTCATGATTGCTCTGGCTCAGGACACGACCACAAACATCAAGTCAAAAAAGAAAAGGCCACAGGCATAGTTTGGCTGCTTGCTTAAAAGATTATAATGTTCTAGAATAGAAATGAGTAGAGGCATTTAGATTTGGAAGTAGATGTACTGCTTCAGTTTACTTGCTCCTTGGTTGAGAGGGTTTTCACTATTGCTATTTCTATGCTGCTATTTGTTCATTGTTTCCCTTTCTTTAAACAACATGAGATATGGCTATTTTTGTAGAATTAGAAAATGGGGTACATAGGATTTCAGTAGAAGATTTATATTAACCAGCTTCACTGCCATTATCTCACTATTAATAGAGGTGTTTTGCTGCTTTAGAGGTGTTTTAGCTGTTTAATAGTTAATCATTGTAATTGAGATTTTGTGGTTTCAGGTAAAGAAAAATATCAAGGTTTTTCTCATGGTACTATTCTCAGAAATGTCAAACATGTTACTGTGACCCTTCCCATGTATTGTTTTATTGTCCAAAGAATTTACACTATACCTGAGATTTGTACAACCTTGTTTTGTTAGAATGAAAATGTTAGGCCATTGAGGCAAGAAGACTATGTACGGGACATTTAAGAAAAAACCCTGTAATGGGAAACGTTCTAGATGAATGCATAGGGGAGAAACATGGGAAAGAAAAATATTGATGGAAGCACAAACCAATATCTGATGTAATATGTGGTGACTTAAGGGGGAGGTAACGTTCATTCTATAAAAACTGAGCTATCCTAAAAATAAAAAAAAAAGCTGCCTCTTCTACGCATACTTCTGTGTGTGTCTGTCTTCTTCCTCGCCGATGCCTCTCATCCCTTGAGTATTCCTGGTCCTGCCGAGGCTGGACCTCGGCAATCCATCACCAGATTAGCTCCCCGCTCACCCAGCCCCTTGCCCTCTGGTAACCACTGCTGAGTTCTCTGCTGAGTTTGTTGCTCAGCAACAAACTGATTTCTCTCAACGAATCTTTGAGTTTGTTGCTGTTATATTATTTGTTTGTTGTTTTTGTTTTTATTCCACATGATTAAAATCATAGCGTATGTGTCTTTCTCCTTACTTATTTCACTTAATGTAAGACCCTCAGGTTCCATCCATGTTGTTACAAATTGCAAGATTTCATTCTTTTTTATCTTCTGAGGAGATAACATCTCTTTATCCATTTATGCACGGATGCATACTTAGGTTACTTCCATATCTTGACTGTTGTAAATAATGCTGTAATGAACATAGGGGTGCATTTATCTTTTTGAATAAGTATTTTAGTGTTAAAAAAGACCTGTTAAAATTCAAGCAGGAAAACTAAAAGATCTCTGATTCTGTTGTCTGTCTTTATGTAAAAATTAACTTGTAAATGAACTGTATTTAGTTGGCTTAAAGGAAACTGAGTGCTTATATACATACTCAGAAATATAAAACTCTTCAGAACACATTCCAGATTCATATGATCTGGGAGATAATCAATATTAAATTAGTATTTGGTATTAGAGCTTGGTTTAAGCTTGTGGGCTTAATTAATACAGACCTGTCTTTAGAATCATGAACATTAAATATAATACTTTTATTGTACCTAGGGTTACTGGAAGTCAATAAGTGCATATTGTTCCTGTTATAAAATCTGTCAGCAGGGAAAATAACCTGATATGATTACATTTTTAAGTAAATGTTACTGAGGTAAGAGCTTTTTGGTAAACTCTATAATTCTTTACCAGCTGAGCTACATGTTTTGGAAATATCCATCTAAAATAGGCTCTCCACATTTTGATAACTTGAAACAAAATTAAGTTAATTAGTAGGAATTCATTGAGGATCCAGACCATTTCAAATAAGATGAAATATTGGAACATTAATTGCTAAGCAGATCCAAATTTACTCCTTTCTACTTTTGTCTTCTTATGAGAGGGAAACTAAAGATGTTTGAGTATATCAGACACATATCTTTTTTAAAATTTTATTTATTTTAATTGGAGTCTAATTACTTTGCAATATTGTAGTGGTTTTGCCATACACTGACATGAATTAGCCACGGGTGTACATGTGTCCCCCATCCTGAATCCCCTCCCACCTCCCTCCCCATCCCATCCCTCAGGGTCGTCCCAGTGCACCCGCCCTGAGTGCCCTCAGACACGTATCTTTTACCACAGACTACATTAAGGGAAGAGATTCTGCTTTAGGAAGATGCATGTTTCTAGAGGTTATGGAATATTCCAATCAGGAAATGCTAATATAAAAGATAGGTCATGGTTGCTTAAGCAAAGTAGGATGTGTGCTTTCAGTAAAAGAAGCTATGAGGCCTTGCGCTGGAACATGACGTCTCCCCCGCCCTCTTTGGAGATAGCCCCGCCCCCTTGCTTCTCCCGCCTTCGGAAGGGTTTCTGCCTTGGCATTTATCATGGACCGGCTGCCTCACCCATGACACAACGTGCCCCTGGCACACTAACAGGCTCCTGAGGAACCCAGTTACGGAACTGAAGCATAGCAAAGTCCATTGCCCGAACAAGCGCCGTTTCCCCCCGTCTAACGGGAGCGTGCACAGAGATGGACCGCCAGGGGGCGTTGATGGGCGCACAGCGTGACCTCCCCACGCCCCGCCCCCGGCGGCGCCTTCTAAACACGTCCTTCCGCTCACTTCCTCCTCTTTTCTCCGCCATCCTATGTGCGGTTGATCATGTCTTCTCGCAAGACTTTCAGGATCAAGCGATTCCTGGCCAAGAAGCAAAAGCAGAATCGTCCCATTCCTCAATGGATTCGAATGAAAACTGGCAATAAAATTAGGTACAACTCCAAGAGAAGACATTGGAGAAGAACCAAGCTGGGTCTATAAGAAGCCTCACAGAAAAAGTGGCACACGTGTTAAGACCACTTATTTAAGCAGCCGTATCACAGTGAGAACATCACTGCTGTAATGCTTGGCTCCTGATGTTTCTTATTTCCTCACTATCAGTCGAGACCAGTAATAAATATATGTGACGTTGGAACTGTTATTGTATTAGATGGTTTGTGATGACGTACTGAATAAATACTCCTGTCAGGACACAGGGCTGTCCAATGAGAGAAATGTTCTCTAGCTACCAAGTACTTAGAAGTACTAGTAAGTACTCGGAGCTAGTAAATTAGGAACTGGCTTTTTTAAAGTTTGTTGTCTTACTGTTCCCTATAAGTAGCAGCTCTTAAACCTACTGTTACAGGAAGTACACATATGTGTCATCCTTGTACCTGAACGCAGCGCCTTTTTAAAATAAACTGTTGGGGCGGGGGATGCCTTGCCACAAGACATGCAGGATCTTAGTTCCCCAACCAGGGATTGAACCCACTTGGCTGCCAGGAAAGTCCCATAAAAAGCATGTTTATATGCTATTCTATGATGTGAACCAGGGTTTGGCAAACTGGTCTCCTACCTGTTTTTGCATGGTATGTGAACTAAAGTTATGCATCTTTAAATGGTTGAAAAAATCAAATATTTTTGACATTTAACAAATTCAAGTTTACCTTAAAAAAAAAAAGTTAGGAGGAATGGAAATATATTTTGTCCTAGAGCTTGTTATTTCTTCTTTTTTAAATTAATTTTATTGGAATATAGTTGATTTACAATGTTGTGTTAGTTCCAGGTGTGCAGCAAAGTGAATCAGTTATACACATACATGTGTCCACTCTCAGATTTTTTCCCCATATAGACCATTAGAGTATTGAGTTTAGAGTTCCTTGTGCTGTACAGTAGGTCCTTATTGATTATCTATTTTATAAATAGTAATGCCTATTAAGTATTTTGATAGAGGCAAGCAGTCAGAGATTTCACAAAAACAGTGCTCTATAGCAGGGAAACCCAACCTCTAGGATCTAATGCCGGATGATCTGAGGTGGTTGTTGTTTAGTCGCTAAGTTGTGTCTGACTCTTTGACTGTAGTCCGCAAGGTTCCTCTGTTCATGGGCTTTTCCAAGCAAGAATACTGGAATTGGTTGCCATTTCTTTCTCCAAGCTTGTTATTTCTGACTGGAGAAAGAATAAGGGACAAACCCCATGATTCAAGCAGCTGCACCACCTTCATGCTTGATCCTTGCTGGGGAAGAGCTGCCAGAGGCTAGAGAAAGCCCCAAGAGCCTATATTTCCCGCTGACTGCCAGCTCTCTTGCGTCCCTGGCACTGCCAGGGTCCCTGCAATCCAAGCAGCTGTTCCACCCCTGTATCTGGTCCTCACTAGGACACACCCAAGTCCTCCAGGGAAGCCTCTGGAGCAAACTCCTGTGGACAGCCCACATGCAGAGGTGAAGATAAGATCACAATTGAACCCCAGGGGCAGTGTGACTAAGGAAGAGGATGGAAAATCTTCCTACCAGCTGTACAAGCTGCAGATTAAATCCATATGGTCAACTAGGCAGAGTCTGTATCTATGGAATATATAAATGAACAATAAGAGTTCCCATAAAAGTAAACGCAGTAGCTCTGGCAGCTGTGGGCACTGGAGAAAAGAATATACAGGAGCAGCACCAGATTAGAGCTGAGCTGTCCCCCAGCAGGTCCAAAGACCAGCCCGGTGTTGGAGAGTATCCCTGGGAGGTGGAGGCGGACTGTGACTCACAACAAGGAGGAGGATGCTGACAGCTGAGATCTGAGAAAAACATTTATTATTACTCAGATTTTTATTTGTTCTGTGATTGGTTCTGGACTTTTTTTTTTAACCCCCTCTGTTACTATGGTTGTTGATTTTATTGTTACTATTAACTCTATTTAAGCTTTTGAGAATTTTTTTTTAAAAGTCACACTTTTTATTTCCTTTATATACTTCTACATTTGCCTTTTGCAGGTCTGTGGGTTTTTTTGTTTTCTTTTTGAAAATTTTTTAAAATTTATTTTTATTTTTTATGTTTTTCTTATTGTTCTTTTCCTGCTGTAGTTATCCTTTAATATACATAAATCTTTTTTACATACTTCTATTTAACTTTGCTTTTTTATTTTTTTTTCTTTTCTTCCTTTTCTTTCTTTTTTTTCACCACGTGTTTTCTTTTTTTTTGCTTTATCCCCCACTTGGCATCTACTTTAGTTTTGTTTCCTGGTTGGTTTTTTAGTTAGTTTTGTTTTTATTTGGTCAGTAACACTTTTGGCTTCCTTTACTTGCTGGCTCACTTTCTTGTACTTTCTTTTCTTTGGACTGTTTTGGTTTTGTTTGCGTATGTGTGTTCCATTGTTTTTGTTATTATTTGTCTGATTTTGTTTGTACCATTTGTATGGGATTTGTCTTTTGTTTCTTGTTTTGTTTTTAGTTTTTGTGTGTTTGTTTTAATTCCCTTTAATGCCATAAAAAACAACTTGTGGAATCTTGGTTCCCTGACCAGTGTTGGGCCAGAGCCTTTGGAGTGGAAGTGCTGAATTCAGGACCCTAGACTGCCAGAGAACCCCTAACCCCAGGAAGTATTGATTAGTGAGAACTCAAACAAAGGTCTTCACCTGTATACAAGACCCAGAGTCACCCAACTGCTGGCAACACCCAGTGTAAGATGTCTCACCCAAACAACAAGCAAGACAGAAGCACAAATTCAGTCATCAACAGACAGGATTCCCACACACACCCCAAAACATGTCACCGAGCACAACCCTGCCCAGCAGAGGGAAAAGAAACTCACCTCCTCCAGCAAGAATGCAGACACAAGTCCCTCCCAACACAAAGTATACACAAACCACTGGACCAGCCTTACCCACTGAGGGCAGATGCCAAAAGGGAGAAGTAATATGACCCGAAAGCCTGGGAAAAGGAGACCTCAAGCACAGTAAATTAGGAAAAAAATGAAAAGACAAGTATTGCACAAATGAAGAAACAAGGTGGAAACTCACAAGACCAAATAAACAAAGAGGAAATAGGCAAACTACTTGAAAAAGAATTCAGAGTAATAATAGTAAAAATTATCCAAAACCTCAAAAATAGAATGGAGAAAATGCAAGAATCAATTAACACATTTAACAAGGACTTAGAAGAAATAAACAAACAGATGAACGACACAATTACTGAAATTAAAAATAAAAAGGATCAATAGTGGAATAACTGACGCAGAAGAATGTATAAATGAGCTGGAAGATAGAATTGTGGAAATAACTGCTGAAGAGCAGTATAAAGGAAAAATTAAGAATTGAGGATAGTCTTAGAGACCTCTGGGACAATATTAAAGACACCAACATTTGACTCACAGGGGTCCCAGAAGAACAAGAGAAAAAGAAAGTGTCTAAGAGAAATTTTGAAGAGAATATAGTCAAAAACTTCCCTTATGTGGGAAATGAAGTAGTCAGTTAAGTCCAAGAAGTTCAGGGAGTCCCAAACAGGATAAACCGAAGGAGAAACATGCCCAGATACATAACTAATCAAACTAACAAAGATTAAACACAAAGAATATTAACAGCAGCAAGGGAAAATCAACAAGTAACATACAAATGAAACCCCATACAACCAGAAGAAACTCTGTAGGCCAGCCAGGAGGGAATGGCAGGATATATTTAAAGTACTGAAAGGGAAAAATCTACAACCAAGATTACTTTACCTGGCAAGGATTGCATTCAGAATTGATGGAGAAATCAAAAGCTTTACAGATAAGCAAAAGTTAAGAGAATTTAGCACCACCAAATCAGCTTTACAACAAATATTAAAGGGACTTCTATAGGTAGGAAGCACAAAAGAAGGAGAAGACCTACAAAGACAAACCCCACACAATTAAGAAAATGCACATAGTAAGTGAAAAGTGAAAGTGTTAGTCACTCAGTCATGTCTGATTCTTTGCAACCCCGTGGACTGTAGTCCACCAGGCTCCTCCGTCCATGGGATTCTCCAGGCAAGAACACTGGAGCGGGTTGGCATTCCTTCCTCCTGGGGGCCTTCCCAACCTAGGGATCAAATCCTGGTCTCCTGCATTGTTGTCAGATATATATCAATGATCACTTTAAATGTAAGTGGATTAAATGCACCAGTCAAAAAACAGACTGGCTGAATGGACACAAAAACAAGACCCACATACATTGCTGTCTACAAGAAACCCACTTTAGACATAGAGATACATACAGACTCAAAGTTGAGAGAATGAAAAAAAGATATTCCATGCAAATAGAAATCAAAGCGGGAGTAGCAATAATCATATCAGGTAAAATAGACTTTAAAATAAAGACAAGAGATGGAAGGACACTACATAATGATCAAGGGGTCAATCCAAGAAGACATAACAATTGTAAATATTTATGCACCCAACATAGGAGCATCTCAATACATAAGACAAACACTAACAGACATAAAAGGGGAAACTGACAGTAGCACAATAATAGGAGGGAACTTTAACACCCCACTTACACCAATGGACAGACCATCAAAACAGAATTAACAAAGAAACACAAGCCTTAAATGACACATTAGACCAGGTGGATGTAGTTGATATCTTCAGGACATTCCCTCCAAATGCTGAAGAATACACTCTTTTCAAATGCACTTGGAACATCCTCCAGTATCGACCACATCTTGGGTCACAAGTCAAGCCTCAGAAAATTTAAGAAAATTGAAATTGTATCAAACATCTTTTCTGATCACAATGCTTTGAGACTAGATATCAATTACAGGGGAAAAAATGTAAAAAACCAAACACATGGAGACTAAATAATAATGTTTCTAAATAATGAACAAGTTACTAAAGAAATAAAACGGGAAATAAAAAAATTCTTAGAAACAAATGATGAAACACGATGACCCAAAACCTATGGGATGCAGCAAGAGCAGTTCTAAGAGGGAAGTTCATAGCAATATAATCCTATCTCAAGAAAAAACATCAAATAGACAACCTAACTTTACATCTGAAACA